TAATATCATATATTTTTTATCTCAAAAAATGCTTATAAAAATTGTCCTATATTATAGATGAAAAGAAATACTTTCTCTAAACCACAATATAAGTCACTTTCTAGAAGCACATCTTGGTCTTAAAGATAGGGTATTGATTAAATTTTATGTTTTTTCATTTATACTATTTCCTTTTTTATTCCTTGTCTTTACATGCTCCATATTTAAAGATCATATATATGTTACTAGGAACTTTTGAAAAGGTATAAGTAAAAAAATGTTGACATTTTTAAAAAATTAAGATTTTAACTAACATTTTTTGCAAATCATGAATTAGTTAGCAATAACATATATTGTAATCTAGACAGAGTATATAGATTTTGTTATGGGAAAATGACAATTAAGGACATCATAAGATCATTAATTACAATTAGAGACTCCAAATTATTAAAATTCTAACAATGAACCATGGTCTTTATTTGAAATTAAAAATATGTATGAGCTTACAAAAATTACCCTCACTTAAAAAAAATACTATTGAAATTACGATGATGGGTCAAGCTATTGTTAGAAAAACTAGGAACCATACTCTTGAAAGACACCTATGAATATATGATAGTCACCTGAAAATTCACTGAAATCACTTTTTAATATGAACTAATCATTTTTTAATTTTTATACTTGTTAATATATAAGTAAACACTTAAAAAAATTAGAAAAGACATTACTGAAATTACTATTACATGTTAGGATTATTGTTAATCTCAATTGAAAAAATCAGGCTCTAAAGTTTTATGGGTTGAGGCTAGTGAAATTATTATTATGAGTCAGGACTATTGTTAATCAAATTGTGGGTCTTAGTTTTTTCAAATGAGATTAATAATAGTCTTAACTTATAATAATAATTTCAGTACTTGAAGATAATTTTGTAAACTCATATATTTTTAATTTCAATTGAGGACCAAGATCTAATATTATTAGGATTTTAATAATTCAGATTGTATTGTAATTAATGATGTTCTGGGGTCTATAATTGTCCTTTTCCCTTCTGTTTTCTCATTAATCTAGTGACATGTTTGGTTCAAGGAATCATGCGCAATGTAATCGATATATATTTCTTTTTATATTATATTGACGTTGATTCTTTATAAGAAGGGATGTACACCAAGATGGTAGCCTTCTCGTATGTACCGATTTCAATATAAATTTATTGTATACTCTTTATGATCCTATTTATAAATCACTTTTACAATCTCATCAATACCAATACAATAAAAATATATACTAGTATAAAGAATAACTATAAATAAAATTTCAAAATTAACTCTCAAATAAAAAGACAAAAGTAATCTAATCAATATAATATTACTTTTCATGTATTTCTCTCATACTTTACAAAAAAGTTACTCCTTTTACTATGAGAATGGTATTGTCAATTTTTCTTTACAATGAAAAATGTTAAACAAGTAAGGTTCTTTGGGAATTTCATTTTGAAAAGTAGAGTAATCATAGGCAATGACTAATACTGTGGGCTAGTTTTTTTTCCCCTAGAACGTGACCACCATAGTGAAGCGGAGGGAGTGCAACATTACTTGGGATCTACCTCTTTTTTAATACATGGGATCTACATCTTTTCTATGCCATTTTTTGAGTACTTCTCTTTACATCCAGTTACATTCGTTCATTTAACTATTTACTGAATTTTATAATGTAAGATTGCTAATTATGATATTAGATGAAATGTATTCATTTAATGTGCAAAAAAGTTAAACTCATAAATTGAACAAATGTACCTTATATCCTTATGCTTCACAAATGTTGTCAGCTTAAAAGAAGATAAAAAGCACAGCCATGGTTCTTTCTTCCCTAAATGCTTGCAAAATTTATAAATTGGTCACTTTTTAATTGTAAATTATTCTACTAGACAATAATTAATATTCTTAGATTGTGACAAGAGATTCAAATGAAAACAACCATGAACTTAGGATGTGCTTAAACTATATTAATGAGTCCTCACATGAAATCATTAACTCAAGTATTTTTTTTGTTTAATCACTAAGTCAAGTATTAACTAAATTGAAATTACACACAAACACACACATCTATGAGATTTTAGAACCTTGAAAATAAGAAATAAACAACAACACCTAGCTTAATTCTGTAGTTACTATTCTATCAAATTGATAAATTCCAGACTATTTGATAGAGATTGTTGACTAATTATGTATATCTTTTTGGCTTAGTTTAAGGTGTGATTTACTTGGGAAACATAAATTAGAACATGATAAAATATGAAAATAATTTTTTTTTTGGGTAAAAAGGGAGACAGTGCTTAAGTTGAAAAAAATTAGAACATCCTACTTCAAATTAGAACATAATACTTCACATTACAACATTTATAGTGAAGCTTGATATAGTAAAAGAAAGGCGGATATCATCTTTAAACACTCATTAACATTTGTTTATAATATTGCAGATAGGACAAATTTTATTGTTTTCTATTATGATTCAGCTAGAGATCTCAAGAACTTCATTTATAGGTCCAATTTAAAATAACAAAGGTGACAAAAGTAGAACAAAGTCTTCAGGGACCACGTGATGGATGCATCATTCCTATGTACATTATTTCTTCTCTACCTCTTTTCTTCTTTTTGAAATAAAGGATATTATATTAATAAAAGAATAAAAAGAAAAACAATTAAAATGAAGTTTAAAAGCTATATGAGATTCTTGAAAGTTCAACCACTACAAAGTTGGACAAGTGAGTAAAACATGCGTGTAAAAAGGAAAAAAAAAAAGTTGGTGGGGGCCAATTCATTGACATGGAAAGCAAAAGAAAGTTCAAGCAGAGTTCATTTTATTATCAATACCCAACAAGAACCTAACAAATTTAAAACCTCAATCTTCTCTCTCCCCCCTTTAGCTCTGTACAATCCATGAATAAATACAGTTCACTCTACTATCCTATTTTCTTTTTCCTAATCTTCAAGTCTCTCTCTCTCTTTCACGTGCACACAAACACATACAGGATATTATATAAGAAGAAAACATGTGCAGAAATATATAGACTCAAATACCCAAAATGGATTAGGGGAAAAATAGTACCTGACAAATTGAAGGAGGAACTCGAATGATAAAGCTCTCTATCTACTGATGCGAGAACGCTGAAGGTAGAAAAAAAATGGAGGAGCTACCGTGGAAGAAGAAGGTGAGAAGAGATGAAGAGGAAAGGATGACTTGAAAGAAAAAGGCGGCAGGAGTGAGTGATAGAGGGGAGGGAAATGAAATTCTACAGTGAAAGTGAAAGCGAAATTAGGGATTTCATATATAACTTGAAATTCTTTTTATTTTTCAATTGCTTCAAGTTTAACTTTTTTTTTTGGTATCAGCAAAATAAAAAAAAATTGGACTTCTGGAGTTTTGAACTCAACACGTGAGTTATATAAATAATAATTTATTATCACCAATTGAGCTATAGCACCATGTACTCATTATCCCACGCATAATTATATAAACACACACACACACACACACACACACACACACACACACACAATAATCCTAAACTATTATATTTTATATAAAAATCCTTATTAACAATGAAAATTATTAAAATATTATTTATTTTACATTATTTTATACATAAAAGCTCATTATTTATATTTCAATATTACTAGTGAGAAATTACTATTTATCAACTTCTTCCCTTAAGCTACTTTCTTCTTAAATTTTCTTTATAAAAATAACATACTAAATATTGCATCTCAAACTCTAAGATAAAATGACGCAAGATTACGTATAACAAAATACCACCAGTATTCTTTTATAAGTTGGGACCAAGAGAATATAATACAAGATATGTATACCTATGTGCAAGCATGCGCATGACAATAAATGCAAAACATACACTATTTCACACATATTACAAGTAATTAATTAAACAATTGTCACTTATATATTTCACCCTATGAACTAGGAAAAACAAGTTATTAGTGCAATGTCTATATCATTATGCAAATAGGTTATAACACATATGAACAACAATATATTTAATTTATTTTCTATTGTTTTAATATTACAAATCCTTAAATCAAATATAAGATTTTTTTATATATATTCACAATTTAAAATGATGATTAGTTCCTGGTTAATATTTCACAAGTAATTTAATTTACTTTACTGTTATAAAAAATATATACTTCAATGGTAACAAAATTCATTATAATTTGAAAAATAAAAAATAATTTCTCTTAAAAAATTCTAAGAGAAAATATCAAAGTTTTCTCATAATAATCTAAGAGAACATTTCTCTCAGAAGTTTTTGAGAGAAATTTAAGCATTTCTCTCAAACATTACTAGAGAAATATTTCTCTCACATTATTATGAGAGAAAATATTATATAGAATTTTTTTATAATTTTTTAAAATATTTTTCTCTGATTATTTTGAGAGAAACTTTCTCTCAAATCTTTTTGAGAGAAACTTCTCTCAGTTACTTCTGAGAGAACAATTTCTCTAAAATTATTTTGAAAAAAAATATTAAGGTTCTCTCCGAATAATTCGAGAGAAATCTTCTCTCTGATTTATCCGAAAGAAACATTATGCAAATTTTTTTTATAGTTTTTTATTTTTTATTTATTATTTCTGCCAAATGTTTCTCTCGATATTGTTCAAGAGAATAAATTTTCATCATAGCGCGCTTACTTTTCTCAAGTTTCTCTCAGATTTTCTCTCCAATTTTCTCTCTATTTCATAAACTGAGAGAAAATTCATGAAAACATTCATATAAGAGATTTTTCGAGAGAAAATCAGAGAGAACTTCTCACCTTATTATTTCTGAGAGAAATTTTTGAGAAAAATATACTGTTTTATTGTAGTGTGTCTTCAAAAAACATTCAAGTGATGATATATAATGAATATATGGTCATTAAATTAAATAAATTATTAATGAAAATATATAAATATGAATTGAGAATGAGCAGAGGAGATAAATCTCATCCATTGATGAAGACATTGGCGGGGTTGAACAAAATAGCAGCCTTAAAACATTAATTACTCATATGGGTTTATCCTTGTTCAAACAGTGCACGACCACCAGGTATCACCATATATAAATAAACAAGATTCCCATCCCACAAATCAAATCAATCCCCAATAATGGTTAAAAAACAAAGGAAAAAAAACAGCAGATACTAGTAAATATTATTATATGAACTCATGGTGATCATTCAACACATGGCGGAGATCGGCGGCGCTGCCTTGACCACAGCCGACTTTGTGGCGGCTGCAGCGTCGTTGCTGTTACTGGTATTATTATTATTATTGGGAACGACATTATTATCATTACTGTTATTGCCGCTTTCTCGGAGGTCCGTCGTCGTCTTCTTCGTCTCCGCCGGCGGCGGGGGGATCATCAGAACAAAATCCTCAAAGCAATCATCCAAGCTCCTTACGGTCTCTTCAGGATACAGTGTTCCGATCTCCACATCACCGGCTCCGTCCGGGTTGAAGATCTGACACCCTTTGATGAAGATGTCGTGAGTGAAGGATGCCACAAAACTCCTTGGCTCAATGTTCTCTGCAATAACAACAACAATTAAACGCATATTATTGGATTGAAGACGCACACAGACATAGAGAGAGAGAGAGAGAGAGAGACTGAGATAACGATGATCGAACCAGCAGCTACAGCGAGAAGATGATCTTCAGTGATGATGACTCTGGGAATCGTGCGACCGACTTTCTTTTCCCACATGGAAGCGAGTTCGTTCATGTTGTAGTAATTGGTGGCTGGTTGGAAATGGAGGCTCTTATTCAAGGCTCTGATATCACTTGCAGCTTTCATGGTGAATTTCCCGATGTCAGGCCCACAAACGAAGTAGGCTGCACAAGAATATCATAGCAAAACATGGTAAACCCACGTACATGTGTGTTCAGTATATTTAGCCCAAACAATGTGTATGTTAGTTTGTGTCTATGTCTTGTGGCTGAGTTTGTCCGACATGATGTGCAAGTAATTGGTAGAGGACCCACGTGTGGGGCCCATACACTTCATTTGCCTCTCTGAGTGAAAGGGCACAAGTGCGTCCCATCTTATGGGGCTTACGATATGCATGCATGTATTTATTCCTTCTTTTTTTCCTATATATAATTTATATTTAAAAAAACTTATGGTCATTTTTATAAGTCAATTTGTCTAAAAAAAAATAGACAATCAATTTTTTAAAATTTTCACCCTTTCACAATTTTTTTATGAATAAAGTAAACACTAAAAAGGTTGCATTTTCGAGACAATGTTAATATTAATTTAGGTAAATTAGTTAGAAAATGACTAACATTTCCTCCGATTCAAAATTTAACCAAATTTTAATCAATTATTCATAAAATTTTAAAAAGTTGGTTAAATATAATAATTGTATTTAAAACTAAAAAATTTAGAATAACTAAATACTATTAGCTTGTAATTAATCTTTATCATGTAAAGAAATCAATTTTGTCTCGTGAAAATAAACCTAAATTTTATGAGAAGCAATTTGAAAAAAATATGATAAATGTTTTTAAATTTTGTAATTTTTCTTGTTAAAAAATTATATAAAATATGACAGCTTCTGCTATAATAAAAAAAGCGGGAATATATTAGAAGGACACTTGTATATTTTGAAAATGATAATAAAAAAAGGATGCAAAAATAAATGTACCTTTGACGGTGCCATCGCCGTAGATATGAAGTTGATCCAACGGTGGAGGACTCTGGGAAGGGTGGCAGTTGTCGTAGTATGGCCAAGAAGCAATGGAGTTACAGCATATATAAGTGTAGGGAACCCCAGCCTCCTCCACCACGCGCCTCACCAGACGCTTCTGTTTGTACATCCCCAAACCCGGCTCCACCGGGTCCGCCCGGTCCACATCATGCCCGAACTCTGACGGCATGAACCTCTGCCACGTGGTGAAAGCCAATTAATGAATTTTTATCTAAAAAAATGCAATATATTGTGAACTAGAAGGAGTTTATGTGTGTGGGACTCCATGCATGTGCATGCTGAACCATTTGCCTCCCTTTTTTCGGTTAAATAACAAAAGAAGTCATACAAAATTCAAAGACATGTAGTACGAAATATGTATGAATTATGAATTATGACATCATGATCAGATAGAGAAAAAATGAACAATATTTTTTTAAAAAAAGAGTGATGATGACATTGCTTTTTTAATTCAAGGGAGAAAAATTTAATATTTTATAGAATTAGAAAATAACTAAAATGTATTTAGTCTTGAAATAATTTGAGTTTTTTTTAAATTTCAAGGAAATTAAATTATTTTATTAGAATTTTTTCTCATTCAATCTAAAGATTTGGTAAAATAAAATTCAATTTTGTTTCAGGGTGAAATAATAAATCAAGGTGGGGGCTGGATGAGTCCTGTGGGAGAAAAATATGGAGTCTCCCAACATCTGGGGAATTTCAATAATTACTAAAAATTTCACCTAAAAAAAAATTCCAGACAAAGGAAATATTTCATTTTATTTTTAAATAAAGCACGTGTCAGCGTTGGATTAGGGAAACTAATCTTGCTTTAACGACATTCACAGCACCATCCCATAAAAAAAAAAAAAAAGTTTGGCAAATGTCTACGGAAAACCATTTTATTTATTGCAGACATCTATTTAATTACAACATGTTTAACGCTTTTGCAACAAATTCCAAGGGATAAGTAACAAAAATAAAATAAAATACCAAGACACTGATGTCCATCAATTTTTTATTTCTCTCCCCTTAAATAGTCTTAAAAAATTTCGAGAGAAAGAATTTCACATGGGTCCAAATTAATAAGGCCACAGTGAAAAGTGAAAAGTAAACACCCATATCTAACCTTCCAGTTACCTGAAATTATTGGTACATACATTTGCATTAGGCTGTTTGGTGCCCATGCAATACTATATATAGCCATAGGATTACGAGTCTCACCAATTAACTAGGACAATGTAATTAATGCAAAATTTAACTAAAATGATAATAATGTACTTTATATTGAGACTAACGTGTGATTACAGTCTGATATAAATTATACTGTTCATGGTTTGTGAACAATGTAGAATATTGTTGTTATTTAAGAGGTAATTAATTAACTAACCTTGATAGTTTTAACGGACTTCATGGCTTCCACCAGGACGAGCTGGTCCAGCAAGTTTCTGGCTCCCACAGCTGATACCACAATGCTTATCTCATAATCTTTTAGAATCTTCTCCATTAATTCCTGCTCATTTATCACCCCCTATATGTATATACATATTCCAAACACATAACATCAAATGAACAAACATTAATCATCAGCTTCCTAATAAATCTTATATTTAATATCTAATTTCATTGGTATATGATGCCGGCCATCTACTAAATATATGTAATGTATACTAATCTCTTAAAAATATAATTTAATTTTTTAAGGGATAATGATATAACTTTTAACTCCTAAATTTTTTCTAAATTATTAATTTAATTCTTAAATTTTAACTTTGTACAACTCAGTCTTTATAGTTTATTGAGTTAAAAAATTATGAAGACTAAATTGTTTTGAGAAGAAGTTTAGGGATTAAAAGTTATATTTTTTTTCTTGTTTTTTTAAACCTTTTACAATGCTTACCCACACATACATTCTGAGGAATGAGATAATCTCCTTCTCAATGTGTGTGTGTGTGTGTATTACGAGAATGTTAAAACTTAAAATGAAACAAACAAGGAGAGACGATGTTGCTGGCTCATGTTTGTGTGCTTACATAAATGACAGCGGCACCTTTCTCTTGTAGCCCCTTGACAACGGCGGACTTGCATTGGCTGATGGGTCCTGGCCGGACGAGCAAGTAGGTGGCATAACCGGCAGCAAGGCTGGCCTCCGCCATGAACTGACCGATGAAACCAGTGGCGCCGGCGATGAGGACACGTTCCTTTTTGTCAACAGACGGGACGGCAGGCGACACAGTCATGGTGATGAAGAACAAGAAGGCTAGGTTTAGGAGACTTTGTGGTGGTGGGCTTGGTTGGGAAAAGAAAAACACAACACAGGAAAAATAAGAAAAAATGAAAAAAATTAATAGGAAAAGAATTAATGGGAAGAGGGTAAGTGAGAGTGGGCATGAGAATGTGAGGTGAGATGAAACGTGTGGGTTTATATAGGACGGACATGGTGGACGAGGACGGAAAGAGAAACAGAAGAAACAAACAAGGTTGTGGTAGCGTCAAATTGCAGCTACCTTTCAACGAGGAAGATGCGAAGTTAAGATTGATAATCAAATCAATAATTGCAAATTAATTAAATGGTAATGATGGCGGATGAATTAGGGCATGTTTGATTGTATTCCCAACTTTTGTTTTTATAAACTATTTTGCAATACAGCTTTTAAAATTATTTTTTTAAAACATAATAAAAAAGGGCATGTTTGGTTTCATTTTTTAAGAACTGTCTTCAGTTTTTTTTAAAAAAAATAAATAAAGAAACTTATTTGAGTAATTGTTTTGAATTTAAATATTTTTTACAATGTTCTAATTTTTTATTTTTAAAAACAAAAATAGAAACAACTTAGAGCTCTTTTTTTTGTTTTTTGTTTTACTTTAAAAGTACACTACACTTAACTATTATAGATTATCTTTAACTATGGTTAACTATTACCATAGACAATCATCATTAACTATTTGCAACTAACACTATCAGTCTTTTTTAAACTCTAAAGTTATTTTTAAATTAGTATACTAAAAAGAATTTTCATTTTTTATTTTGAAAAAATAATTTCAAAAAATTGATTTACAAAATAGTTTTTAAAAATAAAAATGAGAATAAAATCAAACGAGTTCAAAATTTGTTTGATTATGTTAATTTAAAAATAATTTTAGGATTAAAAAATGACCAAGAGCGATACAAGATGACTATAATTTTTAATAAGAACATATAGCGCATTTTTAAAATAAAAAATAAAACGTTAGATGTTTTTATTTTTGTTTGGAAATAAAAAATAATTTCAAAAATAATTTAACTCAAAATATTTATATATTTTAAAAAAAAAAACAGTAAGGGGCCAAGCAAGAGTCTGGGAGATAAGTGAAGCATGCTTTTAACTTTTAAGCTGTAAATGAAAGAGTAGTTCCGTAATTTTGAAGTTTAGTTTGGGAATGTAGTTAAGCATGTTTGACCGATAGCTAGGACCTCGTGTGTCCCAAAAGGCAGGTAAATTGTCTTCTTCTTCGTTGGTGTGTTCCTACATCTGTACGGTGCAGTTACTCTCTCTTCTTTTGGTAAGCAATTACCATGTGTCTGAGAGATTTTTTTAGAAAGAAATGAAATGAAGTGGAATGATTAAAAGATATAAATAATTGTTTGAGCTTTTTTTAAGAAGGATGGAATGGTAAGGACGGGTTGCTATCTATAGGTCAATATTTTTTGTCCCTCCCAAATTGGGAGGCTAAGGATAGAGTGATACAATATAATTATTTCATTTATAAAATTACCTCTAATCTTTTATTTTAATAAAAAAAATCTCTATTATTTTCATTCTTTGGCCATCTCTTTTGTCTCTAGTTAGGATTGCACATGGGTAGAGTTGAGCCAGGCATCACCCTAACTCGATGTGCACTTAGGCACCAGACTAGTCTAATTGATCCTAAAATATTTTTATAAGTATTTTTTAAAAAATATAAAAAAATTTTCTTAAAATATATTCTCTATAAAACTAATTTTAGAATCAAAAGTGATTTTTTAAAAGTTCAAATAAATTATAATTGTCAATTACTTTTACATAATAATAAGTTAAAAATAAAGTTTAAATTTTGAAATAGATTTAAAAAATGTAATGATAAAAAAATGTCTAAAATATCATAAAAATAATATAATTCATGATAACTTACAATGAAAAAAATAATGCCACAAAATAAATATTATTCATAAAAAATTAAAAAAAACTTGCACATATTTAAGCAATGTTAGGTTTGACTCCTGTCGATACTTAGCCCCATATGTCCAAATACTTTCAAAAAGGTCATGTTGATCACGCATTCATGCATAGTACATAGCCATACTTCCAACCATATATCTCTCACTTTTGCCATCTCTCTCCGTCGCATCTTTCAACATTATGACTTTGTTGTGTTTTCCTCTTGTGCAATAAGAATGTTTGCATAAATAACTTTGTTACTTGCTTTCTCTTTTTATTCTTAATTCTTGAATATCTTATTTAATAGTTAATTTTAATTATTATTATTATTATTATTATTATTATTATTATTATTATTATTTGTTGCTTAAATATTATAATTACTTAATGGGCATTATTATTTTCTTCAAATTTAATCACATAGGTAATGTTGAAAGAGAAAAGTTTTAAATCATTTCATTCCATTCATTTTATAATAACTCCTAAATAATGGTAATGTAAAATCATTTCTTTCCATCATAAAACTTTCAAATAATGAAAAATTTTGTTTTATTCCACTCCACTCCGCTCTATCCCATTCCATTCCATTAATAACTGTTCCTTTCTATTCAATCATAAATTTTCAAATGCAATCTTAATCTTCATTCAATAAGAGGTCATGCTTGACTTGTATTTTTAAAAATAAAAGAAGTTAAAAAAATTGTTTGGATAATTATTTTAAATTTAACATCCTTTAAAAATATTCTCATTTTTTATTTTTTTAAAAATGAAACATCTTGAAGCTATTTTCATTTTATTTTTCTTGTTTTCAAAATATATTACGTTTGATTATTGAAAATTATTATCATATTGATCAATCATTATCACAAGTTATCACTATTGTCTATTAACCACCAACAGCTAGCACTATTAGTCAATTTTTTAATTCTATTTTTTTAAATTAATACAATCAAATAGTTTTTTGTTGTTTTGTTTTGAAAAACAATTTTAAAAATTGTTATACTCTTTATAGACTATCTATAATATATGTTATTGGTAACTATTTAACAGTTCTTGAAAAATTTTACTCTATCTTTTTAATTATACTTTCATTAAATAATCTACATAAATACTTTAATAATGACAATTGAAATTTTAATATTTTCTTTTTTCAAAAGGAGTAATAAATAAAGTATGGATGTAATTAAAAAAAGAGTTAATATGTAATTTAAATTTTAAATTATAGATTCAGGAGTAATTTAAATTTTAAACTTTTAAAAGGTACATTTTGAATCATAAATAATTAAAATTAGAGCAATTTCATCCCCAACATTAAATTTACACAAATGTTCATTAGTTTTTCAAAAATTAGGGCCCAATGTGTAATTTTTACTAAATTTCATTCTACCTCTCTCTTACCGTCATTTAATAAAAATTACACATTAGGCCCGAATTTTTTTTAAAAAAAACTAACGGTCGTTTATGTAAATTTAAATGTGGAATGAAATTGCCTTACTTTCAATTATTTAGGATTAAAATATACTTTTTAAATATTTAAAGTTTGAAATCACTTTTGGATTTATAGTTCAAGATTTAAATTGCATAATCTAAAAACCAATTATAAAAACCACCTAATGCTCTATTTTTTTTTTGAACCAAAAATGATTTTTGATAGATATGTCATATTGTAATCAAGATAGAGTATTTATTAAGAAATGATAGTTATGTATTTAAAATTGTTGAAAAAGATATGTAAATTTATAATTTTGTCTTTCTCTACAATTAATAATTATAATAAATTCATACCTAGATATTAAAATAATAATAAAAAAACAAAGGGAAAATAGAAAGAAAATAATATTTAGATAAAAAAATACTTTTAAAATTTGCCTTATATTAAGGACAAGAGAAAATCCTCTATTTGGACCTAAATACTCATCTAATCATATTTATAAATTACTTCTAATATTTTTATCAAAATTAAATAAAATTTTAAACCTCGTTAACTCTATTTACCCCTATTGAAAATACATACTTTAAAAATAAAATAATCTAGCATTTGATAACTTTACCAACTAGCATAAATGTGGATACAATAATTATTAAAATGCTTTAAAATTAGGGCCAAAATAAATACACTTTATCTATCCAATAAATAGGGCTAGAGTCTAGAGGAGCACAGAGAAAAGTTTTAAAGCACTGTTTGGTCCTAAATTTAGGACAATGATGTGTTAGTTAAGTATTTTTTCAACCTTACCTCTCATTAATTGTACCAAGTTGTTGGCATGCTTTATTTTTTTAATTTTTTTATTATTAATAAGAATCCTCTTATTTAAGGCGTAGTTTGATATTAAATTTGAGCATCTTTTCTAGTGAGGATTTGAACCTTAATTCTCATGTTATGAGAAATTAGTCAATTATGCTATAATCAACTCTTGTTGGTTGTTGTTAGCATATTTTTAATTTCTATACAACACCTTATCATGATCATTCATTGTAATGAAAGGAAAAATTGAAAATTCACATGTTTTTTCTACAATCTTAACATATTAACCACTCCAAAAGAGCCATGGAATTAGTCAATTTTATCTTGTACTCACCTTATTTGGTATTATAATATACTTTTAACTGAATTATATTACCAATAAATTAGTTAACTATTTTTAAAATTGCACACTTTTTTCATGTTTATTGTTACTCAATAAGTTCTTTAATTAGAAAATCTTATTAATTACACTCTTAATTAAGAGTGTTTCTTGAAAAAAAAAACTAATAAATTATACATTAAAAAACTCAAAATATTTTATAATATCAAATGGAGGGAGTGACTAGGACTAGAGAGAGTAGGTCTTTTAAGATATTTAACATTGAATAAGACATGTAATTGATGCACAAAATTTGCCCTTAAAAATTATAAAAACACATGTTTAAGGGAAAAAAAACTTTCGTATAACACAGCAAAATTTTAAAGAAATTCTTGCATGGACCAAGAGTACCACCCTTAATGCTCTATCTAATAAAATTTTATCAGTTTAATCAAATAAAGTCTTTTATGTCAATATTTTAAATATTTTTTTGGAATATAGTTCTTATTTAATTTTTTCTTATTCTCTTCCTACTATCATCATAATTTAAGGGGGAGAGAGAGAGGGAGAAATTAAAATAATTTAAATTGACATAAATGAGAGATAATGTATAAATTAAATGAATTTGTCATGACATGTGTTGTTTCGATAGTCTGCA